TCTATAAAATGCATTGCTGTTCTGTTGTAAGTAATCTTAAAGATTCCTAAATGCATCTACTTTCGGAAGGCCAAATAAAGTGCTTTTGCCTAGAAACACAGCGTCTCCCTGACATGGCTGCTTCAACACTAACTGCGGTTACTGAAACCATGCCTTCTTTCTTTGCATGCACATTTGGGCACATTATGCAAATATTCCCACATAGTGAGGTAGATATGTGGGGGCGTGTTAGAACGAGCCGTTTTAGGGGGGCGTGGCAGAGTCTTAACTTTGATAAAGAATATCTCTTTGGTTTTGAGACTTTAGTCTTTGCAACTTCAGGGATCTTATCTATGCACAATCAGCTTGTAACACTCCAAAGAGAAAGGAAAACTTGAAATCGCATCATATGACCCCTTTAAAGGGACTTTGGTATTAATGCAGCTGCATTTTAGACTATCAAACACTAGAGGGCGCACTACATCTGCTGAAACCACATGTGAATGTGTACATTATCAAGTTAGTGTAAGATATTTTTAGATATAACCAGCTGGGGCAAGAGTGCACGGGATAGTAGGTAGGAAGGAACTAGAGCTACCTGGATGATGTAATGGGTTAAGACGGGGGAAAAATCAACAAAGGCAGGATCATCGTTATCTACTCCTTCTCTTTCACTCTGCGCGTGCACGGTAACCAAATGGATTGGTAATGAGCAAACATACTCTCAATAAACGGGTACGTAAACGAAAAAAACTGCGGACTGCTTAAAAAGGAAGACAAACAAAGACAAGCAAGAACATGGCAACACCTGTAAGTGTTCTCGTAACCTTATAGATGCGTAAACAGTTTCATGATTCTGTCATTATCGGTTTCATCTAAATGTTCTGCCGTGTCGAGTTTAAACGTTTGTTATACAGATATCTTGAACTAAATCTATGACCATAGTAACTCACTAACCAAACAAATCAAGTTTTTGATATCCATAGCTTTCGGAATGAACAGTTCGAGAGCAACTAAATGGGTTTGCAAACTTAAATCAAACCCACATATGTGTGCGTTAGCAGTTCGACTAAGCAGTTGTTCAGTGTCAAAGCAGGAGATTTTAGCTTGTTTTTGAATGTGCGCGCGGGTATTGACCCCCTCAGTTTGCTCTACAGCAGTCAGCTCTTCCACCCACAGTTTTACTTTCCTTTTAGCTATTGTTGCAACATCATGTGAAACCCAGCATGTGACTGTTTGCACATAAAAAACACTTGCCGCAGCTGACAACTCAATTCACGAGTAGCTGCAGTCAGATATTATTCTAGTGTCTCGTTGACCCTTGGTTAAGTCTGTTTTTATTTGAATCAAACATGCAGGTGGACCTACACGGACTGTTTGAGAATAACATCACCTTCGACTATGATGATTATGAGTACAAGGAGGTGGTCTGTCCGTCCAGCACAGTCTCTGGCGCTTTGGCGGTCTTCATGCCCCTGTTTTACTCTGTGGGGTTCTTGTGGGGGCTGCTGGGAAACGGACTGGTGCTGGCAATACTGTTGCTTAAGAGGCTGAACCTGAGTGTGATGGACATCTTCATCCTTCTTCTGAGCATAGCAGACAGTCTGCTGCTCTTCACACTGCCTCTCTGGGCTGTAGATGCGGTTAAGGGATGGATCATGGGAGCAGAGCTCTGCAAACTGTCTGGAGTTCTGTTCGAGGTGAGTTACTGTTGGCTTGTTTATGTATCGGTTTGATAAGTTCGTAGATGTCTTTGGGTTAAATAGCGTTTTCATTGTACACACATCAGGCGTGTTTAAAAGTTAATGACACTGAAATCAAATTGGCGTTGAATTACAGGTTTTGGGTCTTCCGATGGCATCCAGTAAAGAGACTTTTTTTAAATTTAGTTTGTTTGTTTTCAACAGTTAAAAAACCAAGCTTTTAGAGTAACATTGTGTAACATGGTAATATTTTGGACATCTCCACCTAGACAAGTGACTTGAGGCTTTTTTGTCCAGATCCATGTGTTTAATCCTAAATACTTTAAGTATATATATATATACAAATGACTTGAATATACATCTTTTATGATGACTTTGTTTGAATTGAAATTCATTTTGATATTTGGGGGGCACAAGTAAAAAAATATCATAGTGAAGAAAAAAGGCTTAACATTTCAAAGAATTACACAACTACAAAACTATTTATTATTATTTATACTTGATTATTATTATTACTACTACTATTTATTACTATTTATTAAATATTGTCTGATGAATCAAAGTCACTTGGTGCAACCAACATGCAGAATAAAAACATAAAACAAGAAATTATATCATAGAGAGGACCACTGCGGACCCACATGGCTGTGTATCAAGGTCAATAAGACTAAAATATCAGATAATTCAACCTTTTAATGACAAGGCAAGGTTAGTTCAGGTTTTAAAATGTCATGTGGTGTGATTCCCCAAAATTGCATACATTAATGATGCTTATAAATGAATAATTTATAATATTTCTAAGAAATCTTACAATGCTATATTTAATATTATGAGATAGATATATCTATCCATTGCCCCTATATGTGTGTGTGTGTGTGTGTGTGTGTGTGTGTGTGTGTGTGAAAAAATGTAAATAATTAAATATGTTATTACTTTATACTTGATGGATGCATCACATGACAAATTTGTTTTGTCAATAAATGTAAACTTTTTTTAAATTTATTTATTTTTTTAATTTTTTCTCATAAAAAGATTTCAAAGCCATATGAAGCCAACATTATACATTTATAAGAACTGGCATGTTTTAAACTACATTTTTAAATGATTTTTGGACATTCCAATTGGTCATTAGCAGTCTATTATAGTAGTTTTGTTGTAATAACTGTTTCCTTTTCTCTTCAGATCAATTTCTACTGTGGTATCTTCACGTTGGCCTGCCTCAGTGTTGACTGCTATCTGTCCATCGTCCATGGAGTACAGCTGTTTTCTTGTAAAAAGCCTGTGGTGGTTCACTGTTGCTGCCTGATTATCTGTGTCCTCTGCCTGCTGCTTTCCATCCCTAATTGGATCTTTCTGAGCCCCATCAGTGGCACAAATGAGGGTAAACGGGAATGTATTCACTCTTATACGCCCGATTCCTGGCATCTTGCCTCTCGTTTTCCGCATCTTTTTGTTCTACCGGTACTTGCGCTGCTGTGCTGCGGTTCCTTTGTCCTGCTAAAGTTACGGCACAACTCAAAGTGCCAGCAGAAGAAGAAGGGCCAAAGGACAGCTATCATTGCAGTCCTTGTGCTGGTTTTCTTTATCTGCTGGACACCCTACAACATTACCTTCATCGTGAACACTGTTCAGACATCAGAGAGCATCTCTTCAGCAGTGGCAGAAGAGTGTGAAGGGAGGCAGTGGGCAGCTAGCAAAATAACGGCAGTTTTTGGGCTTCTCCATTGTGTTGTTAATCCTGTCATTTACCTCTGTCTCTCCAAAGAGTTCCGGCATCGTGTACTGACTATGACAAAGTTCAGTGCTTGTAAAACAGAGAGTAATGATGTTTCACTTTGGGACTCTAGTGTAGTAATTAGAAACGCATCTGTCCAAGAGGAACAAGGTTCACTTCAGCCTATGAATGACATTAATTCAACAATAAAACCCCAGGATCATGATACATGAAAAATATGGATCATAAAACATTGACTGCTGGACACGCTGTATCTCGTAATTCCTAAAATGTATGTTATGCGTTCTTCATTTAACATGTGAGCATTTAATAGATATCACTAAGTATGGAATAACCCAGTCAGCCCAGTCCTCCAAAGGTTTCTGTACATGTATTCTGGAATATTCTCTCATTATGGATGATAAAGGATGAAATTAAAAAGACGGGCATGAAGGAAGAACATGAAATGCTGGCCAACTCATTTGCACTTTAATTCTGTTTAATTTCATCAGTAAAATGATCATACTCGGAATTATTTAATTTTATTTGGTCAAATTATATGTTTATTTATTTTCGCTGTGCTGTGAATGTTTGGGAATAATATTCTGGAACAATGTTTTTAGTAATGGATTGATATTATCAGCCAGTATTTGGCCATTGGTCGGTTCTGTGCCCACTTGCTTGGTTAACAGATGTCTTCATTCCCACTCAATTACAAAATCATTTTCAATGGATAATTACCTTTTTTCTTTTTTTTTTGGTCAAATTTAAATAACTATTGTGTGAAATATTCATTTCAGTATTCAAAACTTTTATATTTATAATTATAGTGTATTTATATGTAATTGTGACATTTAAATTTTACAAAAATTTTAATATATGTAATTATGTGACAATTATTGTACTTTTAATTACAACACACGAAATGTCACATTTTACAACCATTTAAACATACTAACTTATGAGGCTTTGCATGATTTGGCACGTCAATATTTGTCAGAGCTTTTAACTCCTACACTCCAATGCATGACCTGAAACTGAAATCTGAAATCTGAAACTGGTCTGTTAACCGTTCTGTCAACCCGTTTAAGATCGATGGGAGATGGGGCTTTTTCTTCACTTGCTCCAAAACTATGCAAATCTTTACCTATTGAGATAAGGCAAGCAAAATCCCTTGGCATTTTTAAATCTCGCATTAAAACTCATTTCTTTTAGGGTAGCTCTTACTTGAATTTTTGTATTAAGTCCATATTATTCTATTTTTAAGTGTTTTGAGTGCATTTCTTCTCTTCTTCATAATTTTTATATGGTGTATTTTGTTATTTTATTCGTTTATCTAAAGCGCTTTGAGATGTAACATTTAAAGGTGCTATAGAAAATAAAGATTATTATTATTATTTATACATTTATGTTTGTACCTTACATTTATTTCTGTCTATTAAATCTGTTGCAGGTGGGAGAAACAGTTTTAAATGTGTTAAAGTGTGCTAAAATTTAATCAGTACCATCAGCGGATCTGCTGATGAATAAGATAAAAATAAGATAGTTTCTGCTCCCATGACAGGAAGTCATGTCAGTTGCTTAGTAGTTTCTTACATGTTTTTTTTTTTTTAGAAGTCGGTGGTCTCTGGAAGGGTGTGTTCTGTTACTTCATAACTTTTAAGAAGTGTGTAAAGGAACACAGTGCTATTTTAATGTTCCATCCAAATTCTTCTCTTAACTTTGAAGTAGTTTCCTTAGTAGATCTTATGTTCTACTAATTTTGTGAAGCTCAGAATATTCTCATATATATATTGAAAATTACTTTATTAATTACTCATCAAATAATAAGAGAATAAGGATTTGACATTTGTGTAGTTTTCTGTGAGATAGGGGTCATAAAGGATTCTTTTCCCATGTTGCATAACCAAGTGATCTCCTGAACCCTTTTGGAGGAAGTACTTTCTTTGCCGGGTGAACTGGTAATTGGGAAAGACCATTGTTGGGATTTTTGGTCATAAATTCTTTGGTGTTCTTATGAGTGGAATATCCCCATTGACAGAGATGACAATGTGTGTTGAACAGAGAGAGAAAACGGGCATTGTATGCTTTCGTCTTTATACTGTACTGCAATGTAGTGTCCTTTCGAAATACTTTCAGGATGTCATCATCCTGATCAACAGAAGGGCCTGTGTGTAGTATATACAAAGTGTGAGGAACTGACCGTTAAGCAGTTTTTTACATATCTGTAAACTGCCAAAGCACATTTTAATAAACATGTCCCACTCCAATGACTTTTGTGAATAGACAGTCCATTTTGAATAGATTGGTTTCTTAGAAAGTTATTTGTCTTGTAATGTGTTCTGATGCCATGCACACAAAAATAACCACATGTGTCTGACACGCTTCAGTTCCTCTTCTGAAACAGAACATGTGAGCATTACTGTGAAAATGACCGCATGATTGCATTGTCATGCTACAATATCGTCATCAATATTCCATCTGATATTTCCCATGAGTCATCATTACATGAAAGAAAATAAAGAAAATGAGAGTATGTAGTTGGATTGTCAGAATTTCAGCTATATTCACATCACTTTCAGAATGAGGAAATTGCATTTTTGCTAAGTGTTCATTTCCATTGCTGTGGTGTGATTGTGTTACTGCGTATGAGAGCATTTTTTGTGAAGTTTCTCGGTCAAGTAGATATTTGTTTTCAATATTTTCAATATTCAATATTTTGTTTTTTGTTGAGTCAGTGCCCTTTACCCATGATTTGCATCTAGTGTTTTGAATTGTGTTTTTGTTGTTCTTCTTCTTTCTTTGGCTGGACCAGTATCAAAAAAGTAGTGTGTGTGTTCTGTAGTACCCCTGGTAGATGATGGTGGAGAGCAATAGAATAGCTTGTTTAATTCTTACAGTATGTGTCTACACAAACTTGTTTTGACATGTCTTTCTTAGACTTGTTTGCCCACTTGAGATCTTGGTCGCATAGGTTCAGGAGGAGCCTATTATTCAGTCATTTCTTTGTCCCAGCAACAATTCTTCCGGCTTGAATATTAACACTTATGGCTATATGTTCATATTACACTTGTCAGCCATCTAGGCTTCAGTGAAAATTTAAAGGAATTAAAACTAGAGCAAACAAACACAATTAAATATACATATTGTGAAGGCTCTATACTTTGTGTAATTAAATCTGTGAAAAATGGGCAGTTACCTTGTGGCGTTTTTTTTTTCTCTGAGATGCAAATTTTTTAGGTGTGTCCTTTTCTAAATCATGTCCAGTCAGTTGAATTCTCCACAGGTGGACTCCAATCAAAGTGTAGAGACACTACATTTCAAATGTTATTTCAAAGAATCCGAATCCTTTTTAATCCTGTTTTATCTTTTTAATAAATGTGCAAAATTATCACACATCTGCCGTTATCACAAAATTATTTTGCGTTGTCATCAGGTATAAAGTGTGGATTTATATGAAAAAATATTTTAAAGCATTTTAAACAACATGCAAAATGTGAATGCACTGTAAAATAGTTGCTGTAACAGTGACATCTTGTGGTTAATTGGGGTTTATTTTTTCACGTGTAGTGACGACATTCTAATTTATTGAGATGCACCTGTATGTGCATCACATTTTTAGGATGCTTCTTTTCCCTTTCAAGGAAAGTCTGTTCACTCAGCGGCCATATTTGCAACACCTCCGGGCAGCTCATCCAAGACCAAGTCCTAGATGATGTATAAATCTCAATTTCGAGAAATTGACCCTTATGACTGGTTTTGTGGTCCAGGGTCACAAATGTTCTTTTTTTATTTTAACAGTATTTTAGTTATTCACAGTTTATAGTATGGACTTGCTGATAACCAATTAACATGCATTTACTGTAGCATTTTTACAGTTTTCTACTGTTAAAATTACGATAACTTTTTACAGTGTTGAGAAACTACAGATAGGATATTCTGAATTTGGATTTTAACTCATTCTGACACGCAGACATCAATAATGTATGAACCACAGCAATGGTGAGATGATTCATGCTGTAATGCATGCTGGGAGCCATTGATGAGTTTTGTATGGTGCACCCAGCAGGCATTGCAACATGAACCATGTCACCTTTGTCATTTGGACAGCTGTACTGTATGTGTGCACTGTTTAACTAGCGAAGTGATGGCGCCAGAATGCATTGTGAGACAACGAAAAGCCAGTGGAGGGAGTGTGATGCTCTGGGCAGTGTTCTGCTGGGAAACCTTGGCCATTCATGTGAACATAAATTTGACATGTGCTACCTACCTAAAAATTGCTGCAGACCAGGTGCACCCCTTCATGACAATAGTGTTCCCTGGTGGAAGTGGCCTCTTTCAGCAGGATAATGCACCCTGCTATAGAGTGCACATTGTACAGAAATAGTATAAAGAACATGATGAATTCAAGAATTCAGGAAGTTGCCCTGGCCTCCATATTTACCAGTTCTCAATCCTATTGAGCATCTGTGGCATGTGCTGGACCAAGCAGTTTGATCCAAGACAGTTCTACCTCGTAGCCTACACTCAGGGTCCTTGCTAGCAGGTGAAATTTGGTTATGATTCTAGGGGCCCTCAGCTATTGGAGGGCCCATGGTGATTTTAACCGGGGCCCCTTTATACCCCAGCTACGGCCCTGCCTACATACAGGACTTGATCTACTGTGAACATTTTGGTGCCAGATACCACAGGACACCTGCAAGGGTCTTGTAGAGTCCATGCTTTGGCCTTGATATGGTGGCCACAAGTTAAGAATTAATTCATACAATTTATTGATTTATGGCGTTTTCTTAGTTTTTTTCTCGTTTTAGTTAAATACTGGCCACATTTTATTAATTCATTACCTCATTTTAAGCAGGCAAACAAATTTGTTACCTTATTTTAATTTAGTTAAATCGTGATCATGATTGTCATATATAAACATCTATATTCATATATAGTTTCATATATAACTTTTCTTCATACATAATTTCTCTTGTATTTTATTATATCCCAGTTTACAGCATTAAAGAAGAATTCTTACATTGTAGCTACAGGTTTCATGCTAGCACAAAAAAAAGAGGTTCAAGTTATTCCTCAAAATATAGGAGCATATAAGAAGACCATAAGCACCAAAATACACATTTGCCCAGTTCTGCTTCACATGACATAGGATGTTTTGAAAATGTATTTACAGCAAATCAAGATAAAAACATAACATCATAGAAACAACAACAACAATAAACAAGACAATTAACAAACAAAATCAGGAACACATTATATAATACACACAATAACAATATATAATAGTAAAAAAAAAATTTTTTTTTTGCTTTGTCAAATGTCTGATTTATTGGAAAAATCTGCCATCATGACAAAAATATAAACTTTTTATCTCTCTCTAAAATGTGTGAGCTGTAAGGAGTCAGTATGCTTGAGAAATGCAAAACAGTTGAGAACCTACAGTAGCTGCCACATGTGCAAAGAGAAATATCCTACCTGGTCTCATGGAAAAAAGTATCTGAAAGTAAGATTAAACAAGACTGCTCTATGTTCATCTTTATCATGCATTCTGCATACTAAAAAGCACTGTCATGAGACTTAAAGGAACACTCCACTATTTTTGAAAATAGGCTCATTTTCCAACTCCCCTAAGAGTTAAACAGTTGAGTTTTACCGTTTTCGAATTCATTCAGCCGATCTCCGGGTCTGGCGTAGCACTTTTAGCTGTAGCTTAGCATAGATCATTGAATCTGATTAGACCGTTAGCATCTAGCTCAAACAAAACTAAAAAAATAATTTTAAAAAAGTTGCGATTTTCTAGGCCAATATGGCTAGGAACTATACTCTCATTCCGGCGTAATAATTACGCCGGAATGAGAGTATACCATTTGCTGCCGTACCATGGGTGCAGCAGGCACAATGATATTACGCAGCGATTATTATGCCAGAATGAGAGTATAGTTCCTAGCCATATCGGCCTAGGAAATCGCAACTTTTCATTTTCCGTCGGTCTTAGTACACGATGTAACTACAGAAGAGTCAAGTTTTAAATAGGAAAAATATAGAAACACTTTGGTCATTTTTGAGTGAGATGGTAACGGAGATGGAGACCTGTTCACCCCAAGAACGATAACTATAAAGATAACTATGAAGCTAAATATTAGTGTCCACACCAACGAAAGATATAGTTTGTTTATCATAAACTAGGGCTGTGCAAAATATCGAATGCGATTTTCATGCGCATCTCGTCAGTATTTTTTTTGCCCAGCCCTATCATAAACGTACACCACAGTTTTGTCATCTGCAGGTTTAAATGCTCGAGCTCTTTAAAGTTGCATGAATTCTGATTGGCTGTCAATGTTTTTTCTCATTCCAACGAAATTGTTCCTCTATATAATGGTATTGTTATAGTTGTGATGTGGACTTCCATATTCTCATACAATTATAATGATTATTAAGACTAGTTATTGTTATAGTTATCGTCCTTGGTGTGAATGGCAACGCTTGTGTACATAAAGCCAAACTCCTCTGACTGATACAGATGTTAAAGTTTGCATGCTAAAAAGACGACATGCTGACTGATTGTACATATACCTGTATGAGTTTGATGGCATATGATATTTCAAAAAGCAGACGTGTGTGAGGTGTCCACTGACTCTGACCATAAAGAGCTCCTCCGTGACAGAACCGCTGGTCCCATCAGCGTGAAGCCCAGCGGTTTCAGCATGTCCAGCAGGTGTTGGCGAAATTTCACCCCCACGAAAGCGTAAAGCACTGGATTGACACAGCAGTGTAAGTAGCCCAATGTGGATGTAGCTGTGAGAGCTACATCTAATGCTGTGGCACTTTCACAGGATGTTTGATTACTGAGATTGATGGTCTTATTGCTTTGTATGGTGTCAACGATGAGAGTGATGTTGTATGGCGTCCAGCTGATAAAGAAGGCCAGTACCAGGGTTACAATGACACGGATGGCCCTCTTTTTCTGCATGCACTGAGAGCCATGCTGCAGCCTCTTCAGGATGTGATAATAACAGAACAGCATTATTAGTGCTGGAAGAATGAAACCCAAAATATGGTAGAGCAGGCGAGTGGGCAGATGCCAAGAATCAGACGGGTAAAACAAAACACATTCTGTTTTATCCTGCCGTCTGTTGTCCTCAGTGGCCACAAGGAATATCCAGTCAGGAATTGTGAGCAGAAGGCAGAAGAGCCAGACCATCAGGCAGCAACAGTGAGTCACCATTGGCTTTTTACGAGAATACATCTGCACTGCATGGACGATGGACAGGTAGCGGTCAAGACTGATGCAGGAAAGCATGAAAATACCACAGTAGAAATTGATCTGATGGAGAAAGAAGTGACAATGAAATATTGTAATTTTGATTCTTAAAGCAATATTCCTGGTGCAAGCTGATGTCAGTCAAAAGCATTTGTGGTATAATGCTGTTTAAAGGATTAGTTCCAGAATAAGAATTTCCTGATAATTTACTCACCACCATGTCTTCTAAGATGTTCATGTCTTTCTGTCTTCAGTCGCAAAGAAATTAAGGTTTTCGAGGAAAACATTCCAGGATATATATTGGACTTCAATGGTGGCCAACGGGTTGAAGGTCCAAATTGCAGTTTCAGTGCAGTTTCAAAGGGCTCTATAAGATCCCAGTCGAGGAATAAGGGTCTTATCAAGCGAAACGATTGGCCATTTTCTAAAAAGAATGAAAAATGTGTATACTTTTTAACCACAAATTGCACTAGCTTCACGATGCATGTCTGCAAATTCACACATTACGTAATCCCATTGTAAAGGTGCGCGGTTAGCTCTTCGTCTGTGTACTCTGGAACTTCAAAATCGTCCAACATCGTTGTTTTACCTTTTTTTGTAAAGCGTGAAGCCGAGCTAGTGCAAGACAAGTATTTGTGGTAAAAAAAAATATATATATATATATTTTTTTTTTTTTTTTAAAGAAAATGACAGATTGTTTCTCTAGATAAGACCCATATTCCTCGGCTGGGATCGTATAGAGCCCTTTGGAGCTGCATAGAAATTTGGACCTTCAACCCGTTGGGTTCCATTGAAGTCCATATGGAGAAAAATCCTGGAATGTTTTCCTCCAAAACCTTAATTTCTTTGCGACTGAAGAAAGAAAGACATGAACATCTTAGAAGACATGGGGGTGAGTAAATTATCAGGATATTTTTATTCTGGAACTGATCCTTTAACACAAAAAATATTTTCCACCTCTTAAAAAAAAATCTGGATTACACTGAGGAACAATGGAAGTGAATGGAGCCGACCTGTAAAATCTGTTAAAATACTCACTGTTTAAATAGTATGGCCACAAGATCTAAACAATATGTATTTTAGTGTGAAAACATCACCTGTTAACCTTTTCTGTGTTATGTCTAATTTTACAACTTTTTACAACTTCGTTACCATGAAAATAGAATTATTTGAACAGCTATAGGTAGAGGAAAATCTCTTTACCAACTGAATGTCTATTCTATAGAATATTATTATTACTGAAGATATGCATAAACAATAAAATGGAAAAGCAGATGACCAAATAATTTCATGAATTCAACACAAGGCCATGAAAACCAATAATTTTTGACCCCATAGACATATTTGCCCACCTTGAACAGAGCTCCAGTCAGCTTGCAGAGTGCTGTGCCGAAGATCCACCCCTTAACTGTCTCTACAGCCCAGAAGGGCAACGTTAGCAGCAGCAGAATGTCTGCTAAACTCAGATGGAGGATGAAGGTGTCGGTAACATTCAAGCTCGTTCTCTTCTTCCACAGTACCACCAGAACCAGCCCATTTCCAACCAGCCCCACTACCAGCGCCAGAGAGTAAAGGACCGGAATAAAAATGGAATCAAAGTGCATGCTAGACTCCTGACCACACACAGTTCCTTCACCATTCGGGATGTAGTTGTAATTGTAGCTGTAATTGTATAAGTCATCCAAGTCACTAGGATCAAAAAGCTCCCCCATGCTAAGTGTTACCTTTTTGTCACCATTCATTTTCTGAAGAAAAAAACAAAACAAAACATATAGAATTAGTATCTATTCCTATCATCCATTCTACTGTCAGCATTTTTTCTTTATATGAACCATTATGTCTTGTGAATGCACAGTTTAAAGTTTGAGGGTAACGTTACAATTAAGTCTTTTACTCTAATTAATAATCTTACAAATATGTACAAGATGTAAATTTATGCCCGAAGTTCTTTTGCTGAAGTAACGTGTTTTGACCAGAAGGGGGCAATGATGAGACATGATTGAAAGCATTTCAATCACCAAAATATTAAAATCCTGTCATCATTTATTCGCCCTCATGTTCGTTCCAAACCTTGCTTGCTTCTGCGGAATATAAAAAACATGAAAGAACGCATTCAGATTGATTGATTGATTGATTGATTGTCCATAAAAATTAAAGTCAATAGAATCCAGTGTTTTGGATCCCTTTTACTTTAATTGTACAGATAAAACATTAATCAAAAAATCTTTTTTGTTCCACCGAAGGAATTTTTTTTTTTTTGCAGGTCTGAAATAGCATGTATATGATGACTAAATGTTGTATAATGCTGCATATATTAGGATACATATACCCTGGTTAGTAGTATGTTCATTTCTATTCTGGAGCAAAATCCAGGATTTAATAAATTGTTCAGATTATGAATAAGCAGGATTTAGTAATAACGCAAAAAGTTATTCTCATATTTCACTGAATCGCTCAATTGAACAGATAAGAGAAAATGTAAAACCACAGTGGCCACAAAGTACATTCATCACTGATGCTTATCAGTCATAGTGCAATTCAGTTTCTCAACACTGATGAGACCAAATTAAATCTCCTGTGACCTTCACTTTTGCTGCTGAGGTAACGGTCTATCACCATCCTGAGTGGCCATTCCTGTTAAAAGTACCATTTCTTTGAAAATGAGCTTGTGGTTAGTTTTGGATAGTGTAGTACCTCTATATTGTCATGAACCCTACGCTTTATGGGAAACCATGGGTTTTACAATAAAGCTCTGAATGTCAGTGATTGAAACCCGATATCTGTGGAGGTGCCACCCCCTGGTATTTCCCTTCATAGCATAAATAAAGTCTGTTTGTGCTGGAAATACATTTAACATTTAACTTAACTATAAAGTCATTAATTCGTAATTCATCAAAATTGGAACTGAAGCTAATTCAAAACTCTTTCATATTGCATATTAGTATATATGGGAAGCAAAGTGCACTAAACATTATAGGAATAAATAAATCCAATAATAAATCCAGTAAGATGGTCACTGACAATCTTCAAATGTAAAATTATTACAAACATAAAACATTCATTTGAGCAATGATACAATGTGAAGTGGGTGTATGGATATATGATGGATGGAGATCTATAATAAATAGTTGGAAAAAGGAAAAAAGTTTGAAAGGAATAAAACGTACCTCTCTAAGTGTGGGATCTCAGAGTAGTTGAGAGTTGCTGAAATGATTGGCACGTAGAGAGTTACTCTATAATAAAAGGTCACAGCATGCAGATGCATAGAAGACAGACAGACAGACAGAGGAGGAGGAGACTGACAGGGAGCACCAGGGTTTGAAATAGAAAATAAGATAAAGATCAGTTGTCAGTCATTCACAATTCTTTTTCAAATGTTCATTTTGCTTTCTCAATGAAAGGTTGTGCTCTGGGAAATGCAGATATACGATGCATGTTACAGGCTGACAAACAGTCATTGTTCATTAATTGTTCATCAATCTTATGGATCCTCTTGTCTACAAAACGCTAGACAAATATGGAGATACCAAGAAATTGTAACTTTAGTTAAGTTTTGTATGCTAACTGATAATATTCCAGTCAAGTGTATTTGCAATGTACAAGTGTTTTTTTTTTTAGCATTTCACTCAGAAAACCATAAAATCCAGTCATCTTTGTTATTTATAGCCTGTATCTGTTTTTGTATTACAAATATTTAAAATATGTGTTTATTTTCTGTAAATATGATTCAGAAATTCTCCATTGCTGATTTGTAAAAGTAATAGTTGCAAAGTAAAACTTCTTTTGCTCCGTTTGCTTGTTTCATCCTTATGTCACACATGCTCATACAGCGGGCTGTTTTTTTCACACCTTTACACCACGTCCTGTTCTTCAGTTTTCTCGTTATTCTCACTTGCACACCTCACTGCTCACGAATATTCGTGTGTACTTTTTGTTGACTGATTTTGGCTTTCTACCTTACGTGCAGAGATTTTGTTATTGTGTCAGGTTGAACCTGTCACTATTAAAGGCTAAGTGAAAGCTACAAATGAAAACGTCTGAAGGAGAATAGAGAAGAGAAATCTGTTCGAATTGTTTTAAGCAAAAGAAAAGGGAACTGGGAGACGATGAGCAGAGATTTAGAGAGTGGTTATAGCTAAAGATTGACCAGTAGATCAGATGCTCAATTTAGATACAATCTTGGCAAATACGACATTCTTAAACGGGCACTAGCCTAGTATGTCAAATTCTGTTGAAGTTGCACCTGAGGTTAGAAAGTACCACCTCCCTATTTTTGTTTTACTTGCAAACCTCATGACCCTAAAATACCAGCCCACACCAAACCAAAAACTTCTCATTGGACTTAGCAGGGCAACATACTCTTTTAAGGAATTGTCAGTTTTGTAACCAATTTTAAACATCACTCTCCATAGTCAAGCTGTTTCATATGGGTTCCATATACCAAGACAAAACTAAAGAAGAAAAAATAATTCTGTCATCCTTTAATCATCACTAAATCATTTAATTTTTATGTCCGTTTACTATAGGACACAAAAGGAGTTTAATATCTCTGTATTAAGAAAGCACTATAATTTAACCATTGCGGACCAGGCCAGTCTTCACAGGAGCTTGGCTCACTCTGGCCCCACATCAAATAACATCTAGTTACAACATTCAATTCAGTTCCAGGTTTTGAGGGAAATCATGCTTTTTGGCTGCTTGGTATCAGAAACACCTTTTTATTTAAAAACTAATATGCAGTATTAGAACGGGGCTCCAGTCTTCAAAAATGATGAAATAATATAATTTTTAAATAAATGAATTTTTTAAATCATTATGCTAAAATGGTTTGAAAAAAAAAACATAAAATCAATCACTACTGATTTGAAACAGGTGCATTTGTTACATAAACATTTTATTTATGCAATTTGTGTATGCCGTCAATTCAAAGTTTTCAGTCACGTGACTGGCATGGAGACATATCGGCTAAAACATGCGTTGAACTGAAGCACAAGCCTGTCTTGATGCATTAAGCCATATTATGAATTTTGTTTATAATGATTTGCTAAGGGTAACTCTTACTGTGCAATTTACCGTGCTGTGTACATATTCTGGGTGTGTATGCTTGCCTGTATAGTACGCATCATCAATAAAGTGTATACTGAATTTGGTCTAGTCATATCATGTATATGTCTTAATACATTAGTACGTACTACTAACTGGTAAAAAAATAACAGGCAGGCAGTGGAGGAAAACTTCCTGTAAGGATGTGTAGTCACATGAAAACTATGAATACAGGAAACATATGCAACGTGCCTTCAGATGACTAACACTGCCTTTCTCAGAGCTAAAAATGATTTACATGTGCTATATTTTATTCCTCATGATAACTTCAGAGAATTATATCAAAACAAACATTATTTGATGACATCAGCTCCTGCTTTATTCAGAAACAGAAGTAACTTAATCTTATTTGTGTGTTTTACTTTTCATTTATCAGGCTATGGTCTAAAGCAAAAGTACAGCACTACCAATATAGTCTATTTGAACAAAGCTTTATTTTACTGTTTAACTTTTATCAGACTAGATTTTAAAAGTAAAAAAGATAGTTTGGTAATATTATTTAAGAGAATTGATCTGACTTTATACATTATTCAGTTTCCCATTTTTTGTCTACAAAATAAATTAAACATTTTAACTTGCAATATTACAAAATTAAAAGAAACATCAAATCAAGACATTTGAGGAAACTGCAAAAATAAGAATAAATGATGTTTGACAGGACATCACTTACCACAGCATATCGCTGAGAGCTGCTGGAATTATTGACCCATTGAAGGTTACTCATAAATAAACCTAAAGGTCATAGCAGGCAGATGTGTAGAAGACAGCTAGAAGGAGGAGACAGCGGCAGGGTTTAAAAGAGGAAATATGATAACGATCAGTTGTCAGTCATTCATAATTCTATTTCAAATGTTCATTTATGCTCTGGGAAATGCTATGTCTAGCAAAAACGTGATAGATACTGAGAAATTGTAACTGTGGTCCCATATGTAAATTTTTTATATTTCTATCTGTATTTGCAATTTACACGTTTTTAGAACACCACTGGACTAGTCTGGACTAATCTCTCTTTATTTATTTATTTGTTTATGTTTTGTTCTGTGGAACACAAAATAAGATATTTTGAAGAATTAATTTGTTTAGAAAACTGAGTCGGGCCGAGTACCAAAACAAACTTGTAGCCAATCAGCAGTAAGGGGCGTGTCTACTCATGATGTGGAGGAGAGAGCGCTAAAGAGCGCGGACTGACATTAGCCGAGCCGAGTGACCACAGAAAGATAAAGATGGCAGATAAAAAAACAAAAGAGGAAAACGTCTGCGGAACAAAAGAAGGCTTACGATAAGGCAAGAAGTAGGACCCGTGTAAATATCGGATCAGCTTTCCAGCGCTGGAGAGAACTCAAGGAGCGGAAGGCCTGCGATCGGACGCTGAGGTTGCTTTGTTTCTTCTCGATAGGTGAGTAACACTGTGTCTACACCCAGACGCGACAGCTAAAGTCTGTCTACACTGGACGTGATAAAGCGACCGTTGAAAATCATTTGAAATTTGTGTCAATACGTCATAAATAGAACGCAGCAGCAGTTTTCATCCAGTGAAGACAGCATCACTGATTATAATGAGTTCTATAGTATTTTGTCGCACCGCTCGCGTCCAGTGTAGACACAGTGTAACATTGGTTTTGCTTGTTTCACAGAACTAATCGTTGCCTGGGTTGTGTACGTATGTGTGGGGCGGAGCTATCAAGATAGGGGCGTGTTTGTTTTGGTGATTTGAAATATCAACATTGGCTACCAGAAATCATTTACCCCACCTTTAATGTATGTAAACATATCTTTTTTATGTTCCATAAAAGAAAGAAAGTCTTACATGGATAGAATGACATAAGGTTGAATAAATGATTTAAAAATTTTAAGTTTCAAGTGAACTATCTCTTTAAAATGCAGGTGGAAACATGCTCAGGCATGCAGAGACATGTGTTAGGCCTGGTGTACACAGATAACTACCTTCTGCTACTTGTAGCCTTTAAACAACATTGCCATTGGACTGCTTTATGGCCCTTT